TCACGGCGGCTTTGCATCTGGACATCGTCTCCCGGCTGATCAGCCACTACGACATGACGAATGTTTCTGAAACACATAGATCTGACTACTGCATTGCGGCCATCTTATTTGCCAGATGAGATCTTATTGTTTGTGCAGGATAATGTTGGGCTCTATGAGGGGTGAGCTTCGCCACTCGGACCTTCTTTAATGAAGATTAGGGTTTTGTTAACAGAGTGTCACAGGAAGCTAAAGCTTCCAAACCACCAGAATGGCCAAGTTTACTTGACATCCCATCGAATTTGCTATGTCGATAAAGCTGAGCCTAGAACAAACTCTATGGCATTGGATCTCAAGGACATTGACCGGTATGACTTCTATGCCGGGTTTCTGAAGTCGTCACCCAAAATCACCATCTTTCCCAAACCTTTGAAGCGGTCCTCGCTTCATAGTCGAGCTTTATCCAATGCGGTATCTCCTTCGAGAAACGATTCCGCATCTCCTGGGCAAAGGGACAGTGCACATAGACCTCCACCAGAGCATCCCCAAGTGACGACGGCCACTTGGGTCTGCACCATTTGCAGCTTCTCTAATCCGATACCGGTGAATTTTGATCCTGCGGCAGCGAACGCACATACGCCGCTACCGCCATGCCTAGCTTGTGGAATCAAGCCAACACTGGCACATGTTCTAAAAGCAGCCATTAACAACGCCAGCCAACGTCCAACGCCCGTAATAAACACTTCTTCTGGCTTCAGTTCGCTCTCGAATCGACAACATGAATCAGATGCCCTGTCAACAACATCAACAAACCCTTTGGATTCTTTTCAGCAAAGCCGCGGCCAAGCACTCGAGCAAAATAGGTCGGGTTCCTCGGTCGACGCCGGGGCATCCTTTGCGTGTCCGCGGTGCACATTTTCAAATCACCCGTCATTACTTGCCTGCGAGATTTGTGGCGCGCCCCTTTTATCACAGAATACCCCTAGCTTGAAAACGGAATCGCCCACGGTTCGTACGGAATCCCCAGGTCCTGTCCACGAGGCCCCCAGCAATGCACCTTCAGGCATTGACGTGGCTGAAAGCATCAAGATTTCCTTTCGGGGTGGGGGTATGCAGATATTTTATGAGAGGCTGAAGGGAGCCATAACGCAAAGAAAATGGTTACTACAGAATGCTCCTCCGGTTCCCAAAAATGGAAGGAGTGCAGACCCAAATACTCTAGCTGGTTCATCAGATACATCGACCAGTAGGACCAAGACTGCGGGTATTGCAGGCCTGGAACAGTTGGGTCTCAATATGCATAAGAACAACGAAATGCTGATTGGCAGTGCGTTTGAAGATCTGGAGGCGTTGATGTCGTCAGCAAAGGAGGTCATTGCTCTCGCAGAACGATATGCTCGCCAAACGAATGGTGTCACTGGCGGAGCTTCAGCCGAAGAAAATGCCATCTTGGCAGAGTCCGCAAGCCAACTAGGCTTGGTTACTACAAAGGATATTGTTGCCGGCGGAAGTTCTGAGTATCTATACATATCCGAACTGTCTCGGAATCTTGCCGAGTTCCTGGCTGATGACTCGAGAGGTGTCTTGAAACGAGCCGGAGGCATCATCACGCTCGTCGATCTGTGGGCCATGTTCAACAGAGCAAGAGGGGGTGTCGAGCTTGTCAGCCCCATGGACTTTGAGAAAGCTGCACGTTTGTGGGAAAGTCTAAAGCTTCCGGTCCGGCTGCGAACCTTCCGCAGCGGTGTAATGGTAGTCCAGGGCCACGATCGCACCGACGACGCGACTATCAAGTCGCTGCTTTCCTGGCTGCTGGATCTACACGAATTTCCCCCAGAGCGAGAAGTCACCTGGGATTGGAGAGAGTTTGGACGTGGCGTTACGGCCCTGGAAACTGCGGAACGATTCGGTTGGAGCATTGGTGTTGCCGAGGAGGAGTTGCTAATGGCAGAAGAGCACGGCGCTCTATGCAGAGAAGAAGGGTTGGAGGGGTTAAAGTTCTGGAAGAATTACATTGATACGGGTGATGCCCCCCCGCCAAAGAGCAAGGCCATGCTTGAAGATGAGGCTATCATAAAGGCACTGCAAGATAGCGGATTCATGTAGAATACCGAGCTTGCGTAAGAAGCCATGCACAGGCTAATACGCGGGCACTCGGATGCACAACCTAGACTTCCAGTGACATTGTGCCAATCATTAGTGTTGGTGAGCTCGTGCCTACCATCTTGTTTATTGATTTGTTGCACGCCACGATTGATATTGACAAATGCTTGTGCCCCGACTAAGAGCTTGCCCGCTTGATAAATTACTGCCATGGCCCTAACCGATGTCTATTACGATCCTAAACGCTATGCCTCTTTCTTTAGCCCCAGCCCCGTGACCTGGGTATTAAAAACTGTTCCCATCGCTATTTTACCATTTGAAAAAAAAAGAACACAGAAATCGACAATACGATGGACCAAAAAGTGGAAGAGAACACCACTCTTTACCACTCAAACAACGACATGCGTAGACATGTGTTCCACAGCTTCTTTGATTGTACGTAACATGCGCTGATTTACGCAGAAGGGGCAGCGTATGGGCCGGTCATTGGAAGAGACCGGTCCGTCCGAATGAATTGGTGTTAGAGTCAGATCGTGGCCACCTATTTCCTGTGCAGGCATTGTATATCGCGGGTCGGAAGAAGAGTCTTGTGGGCCAGGCGTAGCCACCATGCCCGCCACATGTATCCCAGCCCGCTCAACGCGCTCCCTCTCCTCTCGGACCGCGGCAGCTTGTTCTTCGGCCGCCTGCTCCTCCTGTTGGAGCTGGCGCAAAGCGTTTTGGAGAACGACCTCGGGATCATCGTCGGCATACATTGGCTGCTCAGACGGCGGCGGCGGCGGAGGAATAGGTTCGGGTTGGGGGACGGCGTGTTGCGGCAGCAGCGAATGGTTTGATGAGGTGCTCATCCTTCTTAGGACCTCGTCTCGCACCAAGGCGCAGGTGTTCAGACTGGCTTCCACGCCCACCACGCGTAGGACTTGTTCCCTGATTGCGGCAGGACTCGTATCAGACGTGACTGCCATCACCCTAGGAACACAGTCGGCCAGGTAGTCGATATCCTCGGCGAGGTTGATGGCACCGTCCCCCGATCGGCGTTGTCTGCGGACCAGAAGACTGTAGCGTTTCTTGAAGCGATGTATCCAGCCGGGAGAGAACTCGGGCACGTTTTGGCCTCTGTACCGTGGTAGTTGCAAAAATATCGACTTTGCCTTCTCGCCTAACTCGTCATTCGTTGGTGGTCGCCCTGCAGCCTGGACTTGTCGATACCAGAGAAGCACGAGCTTTTCGACGTCGGGCCAATTGCCAAATCGCAGGCGCGAGCCAGAAAGTTGTGGGTTGTTTCCGTCCAGCCGCGAGTACTTAGCTGACAGGGAATGAGACACGGTTGACTGACTGATTTGCTGGCCAAACTGTGAATGGAACCATGCGATGCAGGCTTTGTGCGGTGGGCGGATGGTTTGGGCTTCGGCCCACCTCCGCAGTGCGCGGCGTTGATCTAGGGTTAACGAATGCCTTTCCTTGATCGTGTGTTCCGCGGTTTGGGTGAGGTCGGCTGGCGGCGACGGCATCAGCGCAGGGTCGGTCGACATTGCCTCGATGCGAGTTTGCGCGTTGAAGGTTGGAGTTTGGCTAGGACCGTGAAGGTGTGGTTGAAGTCAGTTTAGAGTGGGGTTGCAACTGCTGTCCCGGGAAGCAAGTTATGGAGAGCGGACGTGAGCGCGATGAGCCATGGAAATCGAACATGGGGGGGCACCAACCCAGGTACCTGGTAGTACTAGGTAAGTGCCTCATACTAGCTAGGGTACCTAGGTACATACTAGGTACAGGTATTCGACCCCTCCGACGTCAATCAATGCGGCCCGGCGGCCTATTACTTGCGGAACGAACGAGTGACCTTGACTGTACTAAGTACGGCGTACAAAGTGTTAGGCTTTGATATTGCCGACGGGTTGGGCCCTACCGAAACTCCAGAAAATCGCCCGCGCCTAATTTCGTCTGGTAATTCTTAACCCTAACCCTACACATACCCTGGAGCCTAGAACCCTACAAGACCGAGATCCAGCCACGTTTGGCCATTACCCATAATGTGGAACTTTTCAACCCGGGAATGTCAAAAAAAACTAGTACGGAGTACATGTTTTGATGGTCGCTCCGGTACTTTCCCGTCCGTACGTTGCATTGTTACGACTTTGAAATTTTCGCATTCTCTGATCTTCTCGCCGAGATGCCGTCGGGATGACTAGAGAATGGCCCGGAAGCTCAGTAAGCTGCGACGAGGCGATGTGATGACAGGCAACATGGCATAATAATGGCGCTATTGACGTGCCTCCGGTTCTCCGCATTTTCACAACTGCCGGTCAGCGTCAACGCTCATCGGCGTCATCGCCTACTACGTAAGTGCTTAGATACGGCCATGTGGCGTCAACCACCAACCAGAGCACTTTGATGAGCATCACGGCCCTTTCACTCCCCCAAGAACTCTTCCGGCCAAATCGGCCGAGCAAGGATCCGGCTTGTGATCCATAAACAGTCATCACTTCAGCTTCAACCATTCCCAATAGCCCGACCCTGATCATTGGTGAACCATGACCACAACCGTATGCCCGATTGAGGCTCTACCCAACGAGGTAAATCTGCGCGCTACCCTTCTGGTTCCAGTTTTACTTAGACGACATACCTAGGTGTTGGCTGCATCGTTGGCATGCCTCTCGACAAGGGAGCTCATTCAAGTCGTCCCGGTCAGCCGCTGCTTCTACACACTCGCCACCCGGATTCTCTATCGCCGCTTGATCGACGTATCGTCTCTCCCAGACAATCGACTCATTCTCGATTGCTACCACCCCAGCGAAAGATTAACGACGCCGCCATTGTCATGCAGGTATCTTGGTCTCAAGCGAGTGGGGGAGCAACCCATCACAGACGAATCCCTCAAGTTTAGTGACCTCGGTAAATTATACTCGTCTTATCGTCCAGTCATGAAGGAAGAAAGTCGCGATAGACGGAGAGCTTCCCGACGTACGGGGAGCAAGGGTTTGCAGGGTGACGAGACTGCCGCCCAGGACGTCTACCTTGACCACGATTTGCTGTTTTCACAACTGTGCGCCGTCACGTACGTGGTGAAGGAGGCCTCAAGGCCAGGATTCTACATCAGTCAGGTGAATACGTGTGACGGCGTTATTCGCGTATGGCGGCCATGGCTGGCAGAGAAGGCGAATCTGAATGGTGCCGATGAGGGTTTACACTCCAAGATTGTCGATTTTGACAAGTTTCTATGGGTTGATGTCGGCAAGAACGTTGGCCTTAGATTTCGAGTCGTGCTTGGACCAACCGAGCGGCTGCCGTTGCTCAGTGGCCCGGGCGACGATTCACCGGTATCCTATACCTTGATCTACGAAGGTATGTCAGCTGTTCCAGTTTTGAAGTCGTTCAGGATTCGTGAGAGACAGCTTCTGACATTTTATACGGGTGCAGAATTGGTTGTGCGAACGACCACACTGCTTATGGCTGTGGAGGCGTCGACTGTGCAAGAGGCTTCCCCCTCATCTAAAGCTATCATAATTTCACAGATTTAGGTGCCGGGACTCAGCATCTTGCGCCAGCTTGACCTTCGAAACGCGTGTGCTAAAGATGAACTACTGTAGGCCTTGTGTCAATCGTGACATATCGAGTTATGACTTTGATCCTGAGAGTATCCTGGAATATCGCGGGCGAATCTAAGGTCTCATTTCAGGTAGAAAGATTAATAATGGCTAACAGCCTTTCGATTCTCGCTTCTCGGGCTTTTTAATGAAGGATAAATTGCACAGGACGCCTACATTTTTGGTCAAGTTACCTACTGAGATAACCAACCATCGCCTTCCAAGCACCTTGTTACGGAATCTCAGGTAATGTCAGCAAATTGTGGGGAGACGTGATATATCGATGGGATAGTAAGATGTCAAGAGATCCGCCTTTCCGATGCTATAGTTTGGTTTATTAAATTTATATCACTCACAGTTATTCTGCCATATCATCCCTCGTATAGTGAGATGCGGAGTGAACAGTTTAGCAGAGCGTGGATGTACTAACTGAGTTATATTTCTTTGGGAAATGGCCGGCTTGAGGCTATGGTCTGAGTTAAACCCGAACACATGCTCTTTCGTAGGCCTAGTACAATTATTAGCATCTGAGAGATGCCTTGGTCATCAGACTATTGACTGGGCGTGCGCCACATGCTGGAGATCCTAAAAGCAGATCACATACGACGATCTAATTGGCATTCTTTCGCCGTGAGCCGCTTGCCGGCATGGCGGCTAGCTTCATAAAAAAAGGATCAGGGATCATATAGGAGCAACAGAAGCGAATGTGTGTCCAATGTTTTGTGCGTGTCATAAAGATTTGGCCTTCAATAATCTCCAGCACTGAGAAGCTACACAACGCGGGTCCCCAACTGTTCACAGGACATGGAGGTCAGTTGACGATCCGGCAAAGGCGAATACTGAGAAACTGCCTTGCTGCAGTACAGCTGCTGAACCCGTTCTGGCATGAGATTAGAAGTAAGGCGAGAACAGGTTGGGTATTGGGTGGACTGCCGCCAAGACAGCGATGCGTTAATCTATTCCAAACTTGACGGATATAGATCATGAATAACTTCCCATGGACTGGGATTACTGAGCAGTGTACGGAGCAATGATATATCAATATCTGAAGAGGAGGTACGAATGCCGTACTTCTTAATGCATACCAAAAAGCCGGAGATCAGGGAGAGGGGAGAGTCATGGCACATAGGGGGAAAGACTCACTCCCTCACTCTCTGGCTGAAAATATCGACTGTATCCTACCTCGCAAATCACACGGAGCCCGTGGTTTCGTTTGCCCTCGCACAATTCATAGATTGCGGGCGTCGTGGCGCTGGGTAAGACTGCCATTGATGCGCTCCATTTCTGGCATCAAGTAAAGGATGGAATAAAGCTAGGAACTATTGAAAAAAAGGGACGTAGAATATGTGTCCGGAGACAAAACAAGGGAGATACCCTCCACCTGAAAAGCAATTTTTCCACTTACGACGCTGGCGAGGCATGGTTCATTGGCATTGTCAAAGCTGGTGAGCTCCAACGAGTCGCTTTGATGATTGGTATTTTGCGAGTATGCCGACATTTACGAGCGCAATACGGCCTCGTTTCGAATTCATGCGCGTATTTGTGCAGCAACCGTGAAGTGAAGCAACCCGTTCACTCCATGGCCGACGTGTTCGCGTTTGAAGGGGCACCGAGCTCAAAAGTTCATCATGGACCACCCTTGCGTTAGACGTGGAACATTGGAAGTAGCCAATGGCCTATCAGAACAATGCCCGGGGGGGCAGGTAGGCACGATGGAGCTAATCCCTCCATGTCCCGTCCCTGCCTGCCCAAGTGCTCAGCAGCTCCAGCAGCTCCGTCCCGAAGAAACGGAGTGGAGTGAAGCGCACATGTGCACTGGAGACAGGCGGGGGAGGGGGAGCTTGGGGACGTGACGTGCCTGCCAACCTGCTCCCGAACTCCTTCAGCCCCTCGCTCTCTCCAGAGTGTCGATCCCGCCCTTGAGTTCTCCACACCTGTCAACTTCATCCGCACCTGTTCCACGCGCGCAAGTTTCATCTTCTGCCTTCACGTCTTTTCCGCAGCTTTGGATCGAAGTCATCTGAACCCCTGCGATCCCGTGCCCCGCCCTTACCGCGGCCACCATCACCCTGCTTCCAACTTTTGTCGACAAAGCAATAACTTGGGTCCCAGAGGAACTCGAGAATCGATATACAGCCACCATAAGCATGCCCCTTTGGCTGCAGGTCATGGTCTCGGGGACTGACTCTCTCCACCTGCGTCAAACAGGACCCAAGCACCTCAATGACCCAACGCCATGAGAGAGGAGGCAACTGACGAGGTGTTTACTAATTCCGTGTCAAGCGTGTCTCAGCTACTCTGGTCTGAACTTGAGGGCCGTTGATCGAAGTTGATACATGCACACTACATGCACGCAAATTCGTTATAGGATGGGATATCTCATCGTCCGGTCTAGGAAAGCCTCGCCATGGGAGAGGGGAAGAAATTCAGCTTTCTACGCCGCAATTTCACTGCCTTATGAGCCTGTATCTCTTTTTTTGATCATGGCAAACACAGAATGCGCTTTTCGAGTTAAACCGAAACGATGATGTGGGGAGCGTCCCTCGGCTTTGACCCGATTCCATTACCATGTTCGTTGCATCGCTGCGTGATGCGCAGCGTGGATCAATCCATACTCGGCGTGCAATCCCTATAGATGCAAATACAACGGATATACAAGCTTCGGCAATACAACGTGGTACATGCCGTGCATAAACTTGGCGGCGAGCTGGTGGTGTGCGACAAAGCAGCCCCATTCAAAGGGATGCCATATTATGCCTAGCCACGTCGGTGACAGCATCTCCCTAAAATTAACAGACGCCTGGCTCGTCACAGACCTAGTATTCTCGGACATCTTCTCGTAAGCCTCCGAGGTGGCTGTCATTTTTTTTCTTTTGGATTCCACAGTGTACATATCTACAGTGAGGGTCTGCATCCATACCTGGTTCCTACGAAGAAGCATGTAGTCTCGTGTAGTGTCGAGACCATTTTTCTTTTGCTATCTGGCGATCCAGTCGTAAGGATGTCTCTCACTTGTGCCACATAATCATCCGGTTTTTCACTTTTGCATTTCCAGCACAACAATCCAAGAGTGTAACACGTCGGTGTGAAGAACTCCAGCCGTTTCTTCTTCTCAGTTTGTGTTCTTCCCATTGTGGGCTTCTACATCCTGTCTCTTGTCTCCGAAGACCTGCTTCACTGTCAACGGTGATCGTGTCTCGTTTTGTTTCTCACTAAAGAAATATTAGCAGGAATTGGTATCTATCTTCTTTCGCTTTCGCTTTCGAGCTTGGCTCTCGCCTCGCATTCTCTGGCTCCTTATATACCACTCTCCCTGCTTTCCACTACCGCTTGCCCTTCGATTTGTATGGTTTTATCTTCAAATTGCAGGTTCCAAGATGAAAATGGCATGGGACATCAAAAGACCCGGCGATATTATTTCGAGGCCGCTTCCTCCGCGGATACCCAACTCTCCAGACTCGTTCGACACAAACAATGTTGAATATTTTAAAGATGGCGATATTCCACCAAGGTCAATGACGAGTTCATCATTCTCAAACTGCCAAAAGCCGATCAAGTATGGAAGGGGTAAATATGCTCATGTTGAGCTTGTACCGCAACCAAGTGATGACCCAGACGACCCATTGGTACGTACATATATGGTTTGGCATTAGAACAAATTCGACTAACAATACCTCTCTGAACTAGAACTGGCCACGATGGCGGAAAGATCTTAATTTGTTTTCACTTCTCGTCATGGTTGGTCTCATTGGGGGGATGAAGACGGTATTCATTACTACTGCCGGTTCTCTGGCGACTCATTATCGAGTCTCCAACATGGCCATTGGCGCCTTGACGGCTGGGCCTCTAATGGTTTCGACGTTAACAAGCCTAGTTGGCTCCATTGTTGCCAAGTTGTATGGCAAACGGCCGGTTTACTTGATATCGACGTTATTTTTATTTTTTGGAACCATTTGGAACATGACTGCAGGCGATAACTACGGTTCATGTCTTGGAGCTCGAGTTTTTCAAGGCCTAGGATGGGGTTCATTTGAGACGTTGGTGATGGGGTCCATTCAGGACACTTACTTTGTAGGTGCAATTGGCAGACACGTCAACTCTCCTCTACAATGGACGCTAACATGGGCTCTTCATTGTTCAACAGGAGCATGAACGAAATCTGCCAGTATCCATATATAACCTCTTGACCATTACCACAACTTGGGGCTCGCCTCTTCTCGGCGGTCTGGCATCTAGCAATGCGAAGAGTTTCACAAGCCAGTTCCGCATCATCAACTGTCTCTACTTTCTGGCTCTCCCACTTCTTGCCTTTGGAGCCCCTGAAACAGTATTTGACCGCTCAAGGGCAACTATAACTCCTCTCCCCATACTCGGTCTGGACGGACGGCGACCCCGGCGGTTTCGCCATCGGCGGAACATGGAGACTGCCGTGGAATACATCAAAAAGATGAAGCCGCTCTCATTTAAAGCTTCGATAACAATCTCGACTGTTCTTCAGGTCCCTCGCGCCATCATCGCCCCGACTACCTGCCTCCTATTCGTCTTGACATTCATACCCTACGGTGCACTTTGGGGTTTGACATCTTCGGTTTCTATCCTGACCACACCTGCACCTATCTCACTAGACGTTTCCCTCACAGGAACCATGATGACTGGTCCATGGATCATTGCGTCACTGGTCGTAGGAGGCTTCTGTTTCTATCGCGGATTGTACGAACGCTTCACAAAGAGTGTCAGCTACCTCATTATCAGCACGGGAGGCATCCTGTCCCTGACAGGCTTGCTCTCCTATGGCCTTGGCATCCACAATTTCATGACAGCCGATCCCGGGCCTCCCGCTCCGTTCTTCACCTCAAACACTGCCGGTCAGATCAGCCTGCCCCTGCTGTCACTGCAACTAGGGATCCTTGCCGGCGGCACTTACACCCTCGACACTATCACGAGACCCTTGCTCGCACGGTCCGCATCCTTCACGTCGTCCAGCATCGCCGTAGCTCAGCGCAGCATCGGCGACATGCATTCCGGTGTAATTATACTGCGAAACCTTGCCGCGGGGGTATTTGTCCTCGCCATGCCCAACGCATTCACCGTCTATGGCGCCCTCAAATCGGTCGTCATTGGCCTAGGTACTACACAAGTGATACTCACAGCATTGACCATGACGTTGTGGTGGTACTTGGACGAATCCATCTGGAGGGCGGATGGAAGGGTTATGGGACTCGTTGACCTAAAGCTTCTGAAGCAATCATTAAATTTCTTCGATGCCGATTAAATCAGTCAAAGCATAAAAATGAAAAAGAAGAGAGAACAAACCACGCGGACATAAAAAGAGGTCAGAAGCAGGTTCTGCGCCGAAGACGTGCAAGCACGACCATGTGTACTGAAACTGCAATATGGGCATACAAAATGGTGATTGATCGATGGGATGGGACTTTCACTTTATTAACGGCTTGGGACTCAATTACTTTTCCCTTGTTTTATTAGGTGTTGTGACCCACGCTAGATGACATGGTGGTGACTGAAGCTGATTGATACCGGCAAGGCTGTCTCAACTGGCTATGACTCACGGTTTAGGATACGAACGCAATGAATGCAGGCAGAGTAAATAACGGCTACGTTTAAATGGATAGATCCATGCTCAATGTATAAATACAAGTCTTTTTTTTTTCGACGCTGAGATGTGCGGGAATGAGCAATGAGCGTTGACATTTATTTTCATCCATGTGCATCGATACTTTGTTCTGGGTCCAAGCCGCCTCGAATTGAGTACAGTTTATTCAATTCCAACGTCAAGATTTGCCCCGAGGAGCAAAACAAAGCAGGCTACAAGGTACCCAGGTTTAAGAAATACAACACTGCGACATCGTCGTGCAATTCTTGGAGACGAGATTTAGCAATGCCTCTCTCGCACTATTCTTATAATCCCCCAACTCCGTATTCGCCAAGATCGCAAAAAAAGAAGAAGAAAACACCATCACACAGCTACCCCTTTCGTAGCTGCGTGCTCGACCGCGCGCAACTCGACATCACTGCGTGTATTTAAAGACTCGACTTCATCATCCGTCGAAGCCCTGCTCTCTTCTCTATTCACGGTCCTCTCGAGCGTCCCTATTCCGCTGTCATTATGTGATGCCGGCGGCATCCTGCCAGCCCTGTACATTACGTCGTCTTTGACTGCCCTCCAGCTCGTGACGAAGAATATAACGCAGTTCCAGAATCCTTGCAAGGGCAGCACAGCGGCGCTGGCGACCTGGTACGTGTATGGGGAGTCGCCATTTATCCAGCTGTGGATGCGGTTCATGCTGCTGGGGATCCAGGTGACCAGGACACTGAGGCCAAAGAGGAGACTTGTCCGCAGGTACGCCCTCTTGATGGGGTCCTCGACGGAAAATTTGGAGGCGACGGATTTGCAGGCTGACACCGTGCCGTGGATGGGGTTGAGCAGCCGCAGATCCTGACGGCGAGGCGGCGCAGACACGCTCGAGGTGAATGCCGCAGCGTCCGCAGAGCTTCGGAGCGTGGCGCCCGGAAAGGAGGCGGGTTCCCGGTGCCGGGCGGTGTGTGCACTCTTGGGGTGGACGAGGTTGCTTGCCGAGGTGTGCGTGACGAGGACTTCGGTGGTGACGGTTCCGTAGAAACCGTCGCTTTGGCTGTGATCAGGGGCGGAAACCTATACATGATGGCAACTGTTACTTCACGTCTTGCATGGATGGATGTTGACCGGAAAGGAGGTGGTGGTCCCCTGGTGTTGAGGAAGCGGGAGAGACTTACATGGTCGCTGTGGCCTGCCTCGCGGCTCTTGGACACGGAGAAGCTACGGAGTCTGTTTCGTGATCGGAATACGTGGTATCCAACCAGTGCGTAGCTGATAATCGTGCCAGCAATGCATATCAAGATTAACAGGTAGTATGAGTAAATGCGCACGCCGGCCCATTTACCACCTATCCAGCACCATATCTAGCACACCGAGTTAGTCCACCAGACGTGATGGCGGTAGGCAAGACGAAGCGGATAGGGGTGGTGCTTCTCACAACTGCATCTCCATATACCAGCCCCTTGGGCGAAGCCCGTATAAGTAGCAACGACAAGGCGATGATGAATGGCCCGCCATAGCATATCAGACAGTATAGCCACCACCAGCGACGGAAGGAATCTGGGCTCGTGCGAAAATAAAAGACGAGAACGACGTTGATGGCCATGGCCAAGGACCACCAAGGGTCAGATTGCATAAACCTGTTCTTGTCAGTCCATGCGGACGGCGGCGCCGCAACGACACAACTTACATCTCGAACAAAAATGCCTGTGTCTGGCACAATGATGTCGCTTCACCTAGAACCAATCCATCCAGCGCAATGATACAGGCTATACTTGCACCGACGTTGGAAATGCTGGCAAACACGATGAAGGTATTTTGAACATTGCGGGCTCGACGCACAAGCGCATACGCGACGAAGATGAAGCACACGGCCACAAGGCTGATAGCTCCTCCTATCCTTTCCAACGTTGTGATGGTTTCTATTTCGCCCCGAGTGAGGTGATCGGAGGATGATACGGCGGTCGTTCGGGGGGGATGCATGGTGGTTTTTAATATTCAGAGGGTCATTAAGAGGTCCTCTCCCCTCCCAAAAAAAAAAAAGGGAATCCAAGTACTTGCGAGAGGGGGAAAAAAAAGATAAAAATAAAAATAAAGATCAGCCCTCGTTCTAATAGCGTCGACAGCAATAATGGGCCTTATTACCGAGTAAGCTCAGAGACGAGGCTGACAGGTAGCACCGTCAAAGATGTAGATGACGGCACGGGTTGTGATGGAAAAGGTGACTGACTGGCAGGTGCTTGGGCGACGGATGGCAACAGAGGTTCCGTATCGTCATTCAGCTCGACAAGAGCTTGTGTTTCCAGCCCAAACGCCTGACCACTTATCGTCAATAGCTGGCATCGGCCAGGATTAATACGACAACCGGAGCTGTTTAACGCCAGCCGGCCTGGACTCTGGACTCTGGACTCTGGGCTTGTGCCACACAATGCGATGCGCCTGGCCGTGCTTGGCGAGAATTCTGGCAATTCTCTTGTTTAGAGTCCGCTAAGCTGGTAGATGCCACGCAGCCGATTTGGTGTAACCGGATCCGTAGGTCTGAGAAATATCCTGACGGGTTGATGAACCAAGACTTGTAGGGGATTGATCCAGAGTGGTGGCACCTGGTGTTACTGACAATCCTATTGGCCTAGTTGAATCGCCTACTGCAATTTGATACGGGACTTTGAAAGTGTAAAGACGTTGTTCCTTGCTGGAAGAACAACGATAGAAATGACAGGATTTGGTCCCGGCGAATCGTCACCAGCTCGGGTCATAGGTCGGATTCTTCTTAGCTTCATTACTCATGACAGACGTCTGAACTGAACGAGTTTCCGACGAGAATAGTATTTCAAGCGGGAAAGCAGAACGGATAAAGCTGCTTTATAACATGATGGCATGCATCGAGGGCCCGTGAGTGCTCACCGTGTAGTGGTTCGAAACTAGCAGCCACAACATCTCTTAACCGCCCTTGTTGACGGCCTCAGGTGCAAATCATGTCTCGGCTAATATCGAACAAAAGGCCCCATTGACCCTCCAGATCAAGCCGAATCTTGACCACGTTCCGCTAGAGCGACAATGCCCATCACTTGCTCCCAAAGGGCCCGTACCCCAGATGCTCTTAGCCAGGGTCTCGCAGACCAGTTTGGCGAGGCGTCCCATGTGACAACAAAGGCTTGTCTCGGCTGCCACATGGATTTTCCACATGGCAGACACTGGCTTGTTCTCCAACTGGACGGCTTCTCCGCGTGTTCATCGTACAACAGCCCTTTCCAACGTTGTCTTGTATCTCATCTGTGAGCTCCAGCCTCCAGGGCAGCAGACGGTCCGTAGTATGCACAAGACGACTACCGTTCATGATTGCTAACTGCGCCATAAAAAAGGCCCACTGTGGCATGCCAATACACAAAAGGAACGTCCATCATGTTTGACTCGTTCACTCCAGGTCGAATCCAAAGGGGAAAAGCTGGGGCCTGGCCCTTGAGCCGATATGTGCTAAAAGAAACGACACGAGTCGCGGCCCATGGATTGACTGCATTAAATTCTCTGCCCGGCCCTTTAAGTCGATTCTTTGGTGCTTTGGTGAAATGAAGCTCCTATGATATTCAATACAAGATGAGCAGCCATTCATTCAAGTCTTGGTAAGCAATGTATCGCAGTGGAGGCTCATAAGCTCGCATTTCAGCTCGCCTTGTTGTCGATTGGGCGCAACGCTGGCTTGTCAGAATGCCGATATTGCCATGCTACAAAGAGCATTCGCGGCGATTGACGCCATTTCACACCAACCGCTGCCTGGTTGTGGCTTACCCACGGTCCCAAGAGTGCATGGCCATCTCCGGGCATATCCATCATTGTCGTGCCTTGGTGCGCTAATTTCATTGGCATCACAAAATACGGCCCTGTACGCTGGGGCCATCATACTTGGTGGCCTGGCAATATGACCTCTGAGAACACGGGCCAAGTACTCGATACGCTGCACCTGTTGGGCAGAAAGATGGAAATAATGCTCATCCTCTCTGGCCGTCTCATGCATGACAAGTACTGCTGCATCCGGTCACATTCTAAACACTGCATGTTATCAGTCTCCATGAGCTAGGTGCCTGTGAGCCATTTATGAACCCGGTTCTTATTCCGTATGAGAAAATCCATCCGAGTCGAGGGCCTTGATGTCTAGGCCAGCCCAGATTAGAACACCTCAGCCACTGATTCCATAGCAGGAAAGTAAACTGACCATGGGAGGTCAGAAGTATGAATGCCTCGACTTCAAGAATATCTCTGGTGCGGGTGTGCTAGTCATGTCTCAGTAATGTGGCGTGCTGTGATTACGTTGCATAATTTTGCGTTGTTTTTCAAATAATGTGCCTAGATGCATCTCATCAGCAGAGGTGGCGTCAAATCGGACTGAGCCGGAGCCATGTGGCTGGGAAATTATCCAAGATGGCCTCCATATTCCAATGAAAGATTCCTTCAAGTGTCGTTTCAATCACTACCGAAGTACTCCGTACCGTCCATAATCTGTAATAGAATGCCGACTCGCACGCGACTGGTTCCATGGAGTGGCCTCCCAGGGGACAATGGCCGAGCCTGATTCGAGGTTCTCTCAAGCCGAATCAATCTTCTCTGGCTTGCTCATTAACAAGCCACCTAGGTCGGAACTTGATGTGCTTCGAGTACGAAGCTGTCAGATGTATACTAGAGAA